TAGACACTGATCTCCCGTCTTGAAACCGTTACCAACCTGCTGTCCGTTAAAGCAGCTGGAAAATTTGTTTTTGTTTTGTGAATTGCATCCTTCTTGTTAAAATTCAATTGTGCTTACTTACTTACGAACGAATTTAAATTATTATTGAGGACAAGCCACCGTTTGGCGAAACAATTAGATTCTCTGAATTTTTGTCGACAAAGTGACACCATAATGCCAGCTGCAGAACTTTTGAGTGTTTTGGTTCTCATTGCTCGCGAAACTCTGCCACCGACGTAGGATTATATTTTACTGCCTAGCGAATATTATTTTATATCGAATCTGACCCTTTCGTATCACGCGCAAGTGTGATTACTATTATTGTATTATTATTATTTTAACGTTAGCACATATTTTGTGATAAAACATCCCCTTGCGCCTTAAATGTGCCTTCTATTCATTTATGAAGACTGTGAATAAAATCCATTTTTGGCATGTGGCTGCAGGCAAATCAAAGTGTTTTACGAAACAGCACCTGTTCCTCCTTTAAAAGTTCAACATGAATGAGCTTCCACTCTTAGTAAGGTGTCGTGCTCCATGCTGGTGAACAACGGAGCCGAAACGGCTTTCAGCGTTCTGCTTGTTTAAATAAAATTATAGAAACTAAGCTATACTGGTTTGCCGACCAACTTTGCTTTCCTTGCGGACTGCTGCCTACCAAAAACATGGGTCAACAAGTGGTGGAATGTTTGGCAAAACACATTGCTAGGAGAACTTCTGATTCCTTCGTTATTGGCCCAGCCAGCAAAAAGTATTTTGCATAATACTGCAAAGCCGTGGTTTGGCATCAGATCTCACCATTATTTTCAAATTTAGTTCGCTGTCTACGTACTTGGTGGATGCTGTCTTTGGATTGCCCAGCTGTACCATGCTGTGTCTGTGTTGGGTTAGGCAGGTTCTTAAAACAGCATGAAAGACTGATTTATATGTGTGCCAGTTTTCTGAACCACCTTGACGTGAGATCATCATCTCTGCAGCATGGGTTGCTATCTCCGATTTTGGGTGCAGGCTTAGTGCAGCCAACTTATCCTCATGCATTCGCGTTTGTAGCTGTTAGCCGGTTTCTTCAACGTAACTGCACATCCTGCAGGTAAAGTGAAGGTCGTGTCACTTCTCCCGTTTATATATAGAGTGTTTTGACTACTTTATTTTTGCCGGATTTTTTAGGTAGGCTCATGGGGAACCCCTATTCCGAGAGGCTCAAAATATCTAGAAAGACACAGAGCGGCATAAAGACGAGAAACATAAATAAAGGTGTCCATTCTCTGAAGATGGGTAGATGAAGTTTATTGTCACAACTGAAACTCCCCGGTTTTTGCAGCCATTGCCAGCCTGTCGTAAATAAGTTCACCTGGATAACATTTTGCTCTGTGGTTTGGTCCTATTTGTAGTTTTTATCAGCATACAGGGTGAAGAAAGGTCCAAGCTTTAAGTAAGTTGGGACACAACATCAATATATACTACTTAAGTCTGTATGTCAGTAGCAAACGGATATTTCGGAGTGCTTGACACTTTCAATGTCAGTCTAAGTCCACAAACCCTAAATATTCTGAAATATACTGCAAATGAAGTTCTCAGAAGACTAAAAAGCTAAAACATGTTTTTCTTTTCATATAAGAAACTCAAATTGTATTTTAAATCTTAGCATTTTCCGTAGCTTTTATTTCAAAATGATTTAATTTCGATATTAAGGAGTGTGTTCTCATTGATACCGCTGATAAGTGTAACTTAAGTCCCTTCTACAACAGAGACAGATAAAGCAAGATGCAGAGTCGTTTAAGTATATTTTATATTAATCACGGTAGCTAAAACATACGGGTTTCACAACCGCCCTTGCCATCATTGTTTTCTGCTCGAATCATGCGTCAGAAAATGGCGCATGGCTTGCAAAAACAAGCAGGTGAGCGAACTTCCACTTCTAACCCATGGTGCAATGCTTGAAAAAAAAGTAGATGAGGAAGAGTTCACTTCTTAATTTTTTTTCCTTCGTTCTTATTGGCCCACACCGATGCCAGCAAAAGCTCTTATTTACATAATTGAAAATCAGTGGCTCTTCGTCAGAGCAGCAGATCATTTAAAAATGTGGTTCACAATCTGCATACTCGGTGGATGCTCTCTTTGGATCACCGTGCTGGGTAAGAATTGATTTAAGGAGTTTGCTAGGAAAACGTTCATGATCTTACATTATGCCGATCTCAATGGCATTTACACTATTTGTTCATCTGTTTGATACATACACTTATACAATATGATATTATCCTACGTTGCATAAAATGTTGTTTGTTTTCAATAACTGATCCTGTGGCGAAATGTCTATGCGACAGGTCAAGACAGGACCGGGCCTCAGAAATGCGGTAAACGGTGGAAACCGCAGAGGCCGGCGAATAGTTACCAACCGCAAAAGACAGAAGCCCCGCCAAACAGTTGGCCATGGCATGTAAGTCGACTGCACCATAATGTGTTTATTTTACTAATCTGAAATTGCGAAGTTTTTTTTTCGACTAGAACACAGTTAGTACCGGTTGGTTTCACTTTGGCTTATCGTTCAGAAAAAAAATATATAGCGACAGCCAATATGTGGCCTACTTAACAATTCAATGCTGAAATGCTGCAAAGGATTGCTTACCACCGTTCAAGCGTGGAAAGTAGTCATAGAATATCCGAAGCAACTTTAGAGCTCAAGTGATTTTTTGAGAAATATATAACGAGATTTCCAGAAGCACTGATGTTTTCAAAGAATGCTCAGATTTAGAAAAGAGAAAAACCGACTTAATGTGGATCAACTAATAAAGGTATAATTCTAAGCACCTTTTATGCACATCAGAAGTATTGCCCCTTATCTAGTTTCTTAAAAATTATTTCTTGAATTGCATTGAAGGTACTTTCAGGTCGTCTTGTAATGTCTGCTACGACTTTGCGTAAATAAGGTCATACATGTTCTACTTTTTTTCAGCAGATATATATTTTATTCTGCATAGGTTGGAGTCTACAGTGCTGCCCTCGGCCCCTATCCCTTTTGTGGGGGAACTCTCATTGCGCGCAAGTGGGTTTTAACGGCCGCTCACTGCATCACTGATGCCCTTCAATGCCTACATGCCCCATATGGTCAGCTCTTCTCCTATTCTGATGTAACGGGCTATGATATGGCTGTCAGTGTGGCCGACCACAAATACACACTGCGGGAACGTCCAGCCTACAACGTGCGAGTGCAAGGCATAATCATGCATCCCTTCCATGGTGGAGCATATAGTGGCTTTGACATAGCACTACTGAAATTGAACCGCGAAGTCAAGCGATGTAAGTTTGATGTAATCAGTATTTTTTTTATGGAATCTGCAATAATATGTGCTATTATTTTTATATTTTAATCACGTAGTTGTTTTGAAGAAATAAATATGAGTTCAGATTTGTGCGCAGCAGCTAACACTGTCTAAGTTATGTTTGAATAATTTATAAT